TAATGTGCTGCCTCCCTTGGGCCACAGCAATGGAGTGGGCTGTCTATGGACTGAGACCTCGGAAACCCTGAGCCCCCAGTAAACCTTCCCTCCTCTGCGTTGTTCTTGTATTTAGGTGTTTAGGTCACAGCAATGCAAAAGCTCACTACATGCCACCCCAGCAAGATCCCTGCTTCTCACCTTTTTGTCTTCTCTTTGGCCGGCTCCAGTGGGCTCTCATCTGCATCACTGCCCTGAAGAAGCTCCTGTCAAGCTCCACACAACTCTCTACCTTGACAGAATCCATGATCCGTTCTTTGTCCTTTTCCTTGACTGCTCAGCAGCATTTGGCTCTGTCTTGATCACTCCTGAGTTCCTTCCCAGCTTTCTAGCTGTTTGTCTTTCCCACTCCCCCAGGATCTGTCCTTCTTCTATCTTCTTTTACTATAGGAGTGTGCACTGTTTCGTGGCTTCAAATTCCTTCCTGTGTTGATGATTCTCCGATGTCTACCTCTAGATGGAACCTCTTCCCTCAGCCCCAGATTCACATAGCCAACGACCTTCTGACTTCCCTACATGGGTACCTAGTACATATCTTAAGCTCACATGACCAACACTTCCCTCCCCAAGTCTTTCCCATCTCAGGCCCAAATCCTGGAGTCATTCCTCACTCTTTATTTCCTACCTAGACTGCACCCAGGCCTCTAAGTCCGAAGGGCTCTGCCATCAAAATATCTTAAATCTGTCTTTTCTCATCATGCAGCTCAGATCTCAGCCAGAATCATCTCCCTCTACCCAGCTCCTCGTTCTCAACCATGATGGTCTTTTGTCCCTGGAACCCACCAGCTTTCCCCTAACGGCCTTTAGAGGTGCTGTGCTTTCTGCTTGAAACACTGTTCCCCCAAATACTCATGTGGCTGCTTCTTTAATGCCTTGTCTATCTCTCCCAGTTAGAAGATAAGTTCCTCAGTAGCGAGACTTCTGCCTGATTTGTTCACTGCTGTATATACCCCAGAATCTTGAGCAATTAGGGACTGAAGTATGTGTCAAATAGATACTTACAGCTTTTTAAAAATTATTTTTATTTTTTTTAGTTGTTGATAAACCTTTATTTTATTTATTCATATGTGGTGCTGAGAACTGAACCCAGTTCCTCACACATGCCAGACAATTGCGCTGCCGCTGAGCCCCAGCCACAGCAGATAGTTAATAGTTTGACCCTGTCTTCCAAATTAAGACACGGCAACTCTTCAAGCTTTATTTCCTTCTACTGATTTAAGCCAACTTTTACAGAGGAAATGCTTTGGCTGATCACTGTTCCCTTTGCCCTGAGGGTCCTCACTGTATTCCTCGTTCTCAACCATATTCCTGTTTAAATGCCACGCTCCTATCCAAGTTCAGCTTAAGAACCACCAAGAACCAGCGTAATGGTTCACACCTGTAATCCCAGTGGCTGGGTTATGCATTACAGGTATGGTTTCCATATTTGTTCACAAAAAATGCACGTTCTAATGCTTCGGTGAGTGTAGTCCAATAACACTGCCAGCAGCCGTTTTCACTGCCCATTTGGTTCCAAACACTGTGCAAAGTGCTTTCAATGTTTAGTTCATCTTTCCTTAGAGGAGAACACTTGATAGATATGATTTCATCATTACCAACATTTTATTCACCACCTTCGGTCTTTGGCCCATATTTCTGCATGATAACCCTCAAAGCTTTGTTTCCCAATCATATTATTATTCCAATTATCTTCTATATTTTAAAATTCAGAATGTGAAATTTAAACAAAAGCAAAACCAGAGAAAGTAAACTACAAGAATTAAATAAAATGGCCAGGTGTGGTGGCACATGCCTTTAATTACAATGACTTGGTAGGCTGAGGCAGGAAGATGGAAAGTTCAAAGCTAGCCTCATCAACTTAACAAGGCCCTAAGCAACTTAGCAAGGCCCTTTATCAAAATAAAAAATAAAAAGGTCTGAGGATGTGGTTCAGTGGTTAAGTGCCCCTAGGTTAAATCCCTGGTACTGAAAAAAAATGAAATAAAATGTCATATATAAAATGCTTAGCATTAGAGTTGGCACATATAGGGAGAGCAATAACAAAAGCTATATTTTATAGGTTCTGCCTTTTAATCCCTCTTAAAAAAAAATGTGTTTCCGCTGGAATACATCATGATGGAAACATGCAGGCTCTGGGCTGTTCAGAGGGTTGGAGAGAGAATCACCCAAGGCCCAGATGCGAGCTCCCTGGGGGAGACAGCAGGATCACATTAAGGGCTTGATATTCAGAGCCTTCCAGAAAGCACAACAATGAGGTGCCTGTCTTGCCACAGACTCTACAAGCAGCTGCTCACAAAAGCTTCTGTGGCTGAGGTGGATTCTTCTACTGAGATAGCAAGCTGGGCACCCACGTGTGCGGACGCCCTGGGAGAAGCTGAGGCACTCTGGCTCCTCCCTCAGCCTGAAAGCTCCATCCAGGGCCCAGGAAGAATGAGCCATCTCGGGTCTGCCATTCTTCTCTATCAGACCAGAAAAGAGATCCAGAAAGTGAACAGACGTCACCGATGACTCCTTGAAGCAAATCAATGAAGTGACCATCTGGAGGGATGATCTGCAAGTGATTTACAGTCACTAGTCAAACTGGAAAGCCACTGTCTGTGAAAACACAAGCATCCTGCTGTGGTCTCAGCGTGTCCTCCCAAACTTCGTGTCGAAACTGAATCACCAGTTTGATAGTGTTAAGTGCTGGGGCCTTTAGGAGATCATGAGGTCAACCTCAAGGGCAATGTGACTGCTTCTGCTCCTGCCACAAGATGCCATTTATAAGCGTAAGATCAAGCCCTCTCCAGATACCAAACCTGCCAGCACCTTGATCTTGCACTTCTCCACCTCCAAACTGTGGGAAATACATTCTCCTGAGAGGCTAAGATTGCTCAGCCATTGCCTTAAATCTCCCAAGCTGGAGGGGTTCACACTCCACTCCCCTCTCTCTTCCCTGGGTCTCTCTGACTTGGGTTGGGGGCAAGGAGAGCTCAGCTCTTGAACTGTGTTTAGTTTTCTTTGAATCATGTTGGGTTGATATCCCTTTGCCCTCAGAGAGAGCCAGGACTGTTCAGCCACTGAACAGATTCCCTTTTCTAATTTTAGGGGAACTCTGACCTTGATATGGTCTGTCCATCAGCCCCTGCTTGGCTTCTTTGGAGTAGGATCTGGAATGGAAGATCTGCTCCAAACAGGTACAACATCTGTTCCAAATAGGTACATGGTGCCAGAGGGAAGTGTGGGCCACCTCTCCCCCTGAGGCTGCTCATCTGCTTCCTCTCTGACCCTCTTCTAGTTCCTGTTTCCCCTTCTTTCTCATCTCTAACTGTAAGTTAGCAAGGGCCCATGAGCCCTGGCTCCAAAATTCAATTAGGACAACGGTAAACACATACTAGGAATGTGATTGGTAGCATGTGTGGGTGGCAGATGAAGATCCCAGGCTAAAAGGTGCTTTGTCACTTGGCAGGTGGAAGAAAGTGCACAGACACCAGTGAAGAAGCTCATCTGCAGCATGGCACGGTTTTATGGATGACTCTGAGCCAAAGAAATTTGAGATTTTATCTGGCAAAGCCTAAAATCACTGACATTTCTCCTTGTTCCAAAAAGTCAGTTTTCATTCCTGTGTCTTGGCTCTTAAACTGATAGCCAACTTTAAATAATTAGAACTGACTTGTTTATTTTGCCACAAGTCCAGCTGAGGTTGTTAGGGCTAAACTACATTGGAAAGTGTGGGGAACCCAGAGACTGAAGACAGGGTGCTCCGGATCGCTTCCATCTACACGGAGCCCCAGGGAATGTTCTCAGTTGCCCCTGGCTCCCCAGAAAGTCTAGACCTCAAGTATTACAGAAAAACAGGACTATGGTTGATGGGAGGTTGGTAACACCAGACAGCAGTTGGTCTTTGCTGCCTGAAAAACTGGTTCCCCAGAGACTCAAGGGAATGGCGATGGAACGAACAACAAAGTTAGTCACCACCTAGACAATTCCCCCCATGACAAGCAAATTGGCTTATGTGAATTTTCCAACTTAAGTCTTCAAACCCTCTTAAAGTTCTCTTGTTTTCATCCAGCAAGAAGATTCATCAGTGTAGAAAAGAAAGAACTTCACCTAAACCTATTCCACATATGGAAACAGTTAGTGAAATGCATTTTCAAGAAAGTTCACACCATCTAGTCCCATCCTGTGTCTGATCACACACACACACACACACACACACACACACACACACACACACCTGCCCAGAAGCAGATGTGACAGGGGACAGGTGTGTTCCACCACTGGGCCTGAATACACCCATTAATTTTTGCTCCCTGGTGCCAGGGTAGAGCTCTAGAGATCCAGAACCCATCCAGCTGGGTGGAAACTAGACATGGATATGGTTAAAGATGTGAATATGAATCAAGGGGCTGGGATTTCCATTTGTTCTAAATTATTTATGAGCATTCTATGATAATTTATTTATTGTTCTTGGCGGCTGAAAGGTAAAAACCTTTTCCTAGATCCCACCAAGTGGATCAGTTACAATTCTTCCTAATGAATGAAAAAAATCAGAAAAACTCGCTTCTCAGAAAAACCTTCTCACCAATAAGTTAAATGTTTTCACTCTGGCAATGTCTTTCCTCATGGTGCCCCTTCATCCGGGAAATGATCACAGACATAGCACCTGAATCCTGGGTGAGCATGATGTAAACAGAGGTATTTGATACTAGAAATGCATGGAGGGAATTTTTCCTAATGATAACATTGCTGCTCGTCCAGTTACCAAGCGATTCATAAACCCAAAATCATTTTAATAAAATCAGGATGAACTTGAACTTAATGCAAGCAAACCATGTCATGATACTTTTGATTCTGACCTATCTTTTTCTTCTCTTTGTGTTAAGAACTTCTCTGTGTCGTGTACTACCTCCCTTTCAAGTCCTGTGATCAGCTAAGTTAGGTATTATTTTTATTTCCTCTGCTCTGGGTTTTTCCTTCAGGACTGTCCAGCAGAGAGAAGATGCCCAGGAACCACCCGTCAGATTCTCTACCCAGTCAAGGACATTAATCAACATGACCAATATGATCATCTCAGAGCAAAAGATAGAAAAATCCCAGCAGAAAACCAAACGAGAAAAACGGAAGGACTCGTCAACTCCCCACAAGTTTGGCTTAGGTTGACCTCAGCAAGATTTCCCTCGGAGTTGAAACTCTTAGAATTCTGCAGAAGTATCTGGAGCAGTGCTGAGACAAGACCAATCTGTTCCTCATTTGTCTAAGTACCTCTTTTTCCTGTTTTTCTTCTCCTCTGTCCCTTGTTTATTCTTTTTCCCACCTGTTTTCACCCACTCTTCATTTCCCCCTCTCTCCTCCTTGGTGGATTTCCCAATTATGTTACCTTCCCTCTGTGGATGTGGAGTTCCTCAGGAAATCTTCCTCCCTGGTTAAGAACTGAAGCGCTGGTGCTAAGTAAGGCCCCAGTGGGACCCAGGAACACTCTCCAGGAGGAGTGCTCTCCGCTCCAGATCACTTGGGCTAGACTGAATGCCCCGTATCTGTAATCACATGTATCCAGCCTTGAACTTGCTGATGTATTATGATTAACTGGTTCTATTTCTTTATCACCAGACTCTCTTCCCCGAGGAGAGGAACTGTGCCAGGACCTAACAGAGTTTACGGTACAGAACAGGCACACTGCTTATGAGTTTGACTAATGAATAAATGAATATTTTCAGGGGGAGTTTCCTCCATTCATGTCAAATGTCCACAAAGGCCGAGCATAGCTAACATAAAACAGCAGAATGGACCATGTATGAGCTAATGTGTGCGGGGTAGGCTCTTAGGGGCCCCATCTGATTGTTGCCATGTGAGAATACGTGCCCAGAAATGCTAGATTTTCCAATTGTCTCAGGAGAAACCAGCTCTCCAGGTTTTAGAGATAAAAGTCTATTTGTAACCTACAAGAACTTTTAGGTTGAAATGCTATGAAAATATTCCAGCCTGGCAGGGCCTCTCTGGAAACCATGGACCCAACACAAAGACCATATTATCTCGGCTCTTAGCAGTCAAGGCCCATCCATCTGCACATGCCCAGGGTGCATAGTTCAGTAATTAAATATTCCAAGTGTGGCTGGGAGGATAGCAAAAATATCACTTCTTTGTTTTCACAAACACAGATTCCATCTTCAGTTAAAAAAGAAAGACAAACACACAGGATGAGCAAAGTCTAAATAAGTCTCTTGACCACCAATAAAAACAGAATTGGGGGGAAGGATGCAGGAAACATGGAGCCATCGATCATAAGCACACACCTCCCCCACACACCATTTGTATCTTGTTCCATTGTATAGAAACTAAGGCACAGACATTTTAATTTTGAGATGGGGTCTTGCTGGTCACCCAGGCTGACCTTGGACTCCTGGGCTTGAGCAGTTCTCCTGCCTCAGTCTCCTGAGTAGATGAGACTACAGGTGTGTACTACTGTGTCCTGTACAAAAATAAAATAAAATAACAGATTTTTAAAGATGTAACACACATCTCATATTCACTTTTTAATTTTTCAAATTCAGTGGTTTTTAAGGATATTAGATTTGTACGGCCATCACTGGTTATCTAGTTCCAGAATACTTTCATCACCTCAGAAGGAAACCCCGAGCCTGTCGAGGTGTGCACACCTGTAATCCTTGTGGCTCAGGAGATTGAAGCAGGAGGATGGCAAGTTCAAAACCAGCCTTAGCAACTTAGTGAGGCTCTGAGCAACTTAGTGAGACCCTAAGCAACCTAGAGCCAGACCCTGACTCTAAATAAAATATAAAAAGGGGATGGGGATGTAGCTCAGTGGTTAATGCACCTGGGTTCAATCCCTGGTATAAAAAAAAAAAGAAATTAAAAAAAAGAAAGAAAGAAAACAAAAGAAACCCTATACCCATCAGCCTCATTCCTTCCCTAATACATAGTTCTACTTTATGTCTATGGGTTTGCCCATTCAGAGTTTTTCACATAAATGGATTCAGTGTCTGATTTCTTCCACTTTGAATAATGTTTTCAAGATTCATCCATGTTATAAGATGTATCTGTAATTTGTTTCTTTTTATGGCTAAATAATGTTCCATTGTATGGACACAACTACAAATTGTTTATCTACTCATCAGTTAGTAGACATTTGGATGTTTTTGTTTTTCAATTATTAACAATGCTGCTGTGAGCATCTATGTGCAAGTTTTTATGTGGTTATATTTTCATTTTTCTTGAGTAGTGCTGCCCAAAGTTTAAAAGTTGTAGAAAAAGAGGAAAATATATTGTTTTAATTTGTTTGTCATTTATGGAAAACCTATTCTAGCACACAACTGAACATTTTAAAGATGGAACTAGTCCTCGTAGTGATTTTCAAGTAGCTATTATTATCCCCATTTTACACCTGTGGAACCTGAGGCTTGGAAACTCTCCCAAAGCTTATTTTATTTTCACTTATGATTTCTGAAATTCTCCACTTTCTATTCCAGTGCATCAGAGAATTCCTGCTTCCTGTGTGTCTTGACCATGTGTGACATGAACAGAGGCAAGGACTCAGGAACGAGAGGGAAATTGTCCACCCACAGAAGTGAGGGCTCTAGGGAGGAGCTGGGTGGAGAAGCTGGAACAGGACAGGATGATGAAGCCCCAAGAGGAATCCCAGCTCTGCCTAATGGTGCAGCTGGGTCGATGCCACTGATGTAAACAGTCAGCCTAGAGCCTGGCAGGGCAATGCTATGGCAAAACACGGAACCTATGAAACATGAGGTCATGGTGAACTGCAGCCAGAGTGACCACAGAGAAAGCCACAGCCTGGGGACTTGCCTTGCTGAATGAAGCAATCCTACAGGAGGGTCTCACCACCCCAGGATCTATGAGTGGACGGTAGTGACAATTGAAATTCAACGAGGCCCCCTGCATCCGGGACCAGAAGAAAGGTGAAATAGTGTTCAGGCTAAATTCAGGAAGGTCGGCTTTGATTCACTGCTTCTGGAATCAACTGCAGCTAAAAATAACAGTAAATATTTTGGTCTTGAGTTACTTGAATCTACTATTTAACAAAGCACATCCTTTCATCAGATAAAAAATACAAGGTCAGGAGTCACGCCTCTTCTAAGAGTGAGCTCTATGATCTTAATGAATTTGCTGGAACTCTCTGCGCCTGTTTTTCCATCTGTAAAATGGGGAGTGACATCTACTGTATCTACCTAGCTCTGTGGCTTATCATGTGAAGGAGCTTTCAAGAATGCGTTCTTTAAAAGTTGGCCTTTCCCTGTCTCCAATACATGCGTGCATGTGCACACAAACACACACACACAAAAATGAGGCAGCTTGTTAAACAACCTCAGAAAACACATGCAACAAAGTTGAACACATGCATTTCAAGCAAACAACCCAGAATTACTAGAGTCTACCATTTTTGAAAGATAAAAAGTATACATCCCATTTAAACTCAGAAAAAAAAAGGCCAGAATAGTATGATAAAGACTGCTAAATATCTTGACGTGTGTTCTCCTCTTCTTCTCAGCAGTGGACTCTTCAGCTGAGTCCATGGCCACCCAGCTTCAAGGACAGACTGCAGTCTCCGTGACCCCAGGCTGTTCATTGTTTCAACCCCAGCACTTAAAAGTGTCCCTGGCACATAGGATGCGCTCAACGAATATTGGTTGGTTTTTCCTTTTCTCATCAAATCCTTCACTTTAAAAGAACCATAAAATACCTGCATGGTTCGTTCAGTTCGACAGACTCCAGCTATGCATCTCCTTGGTACTGGGGTCATGGCACCTGATGGAAAACATCACTTTGTTGAGGACATTGAGGCACATGCAGTTTTTCATGGTTTAATAGGAAATAAAAGTGCATACACAAAGAACTGTAGTTCTATGTAGTTCAATGGTGTGTTTGTATGACAAGGTCTCCCAATGCCAGAGAGAAGGGAATGGCTGGGTAGGGTCCTAGGGAGGCTTCTTGAAGGATAAGAGTCCTGAACTGAGACTTGAAGAAGGAGCAGATATCTAGGGGGCAGGAAAGGTAGGAAGAAGACTATTCCAGAAGGAGGTACAACATGTGTGGAGGCAGAGAGGTATGGGACAGTGTGACTTTTTTGTGGAACTACATTTAAATTTGCTGGACTAAGGCTCATAAGTCAAGGGGGTAAGGTGGCTGTGGAAGGTCAGGATGACACAACTGTTGGGGACACAACAAGTATAGGGAGCGGTGGTCAGGCCCATATTCCTGGGTCCTTAGCATCCAGCCCTGCATAGAAAAATAAAGCAGTGAATGGGGTCTACTATGAAATAGTCTACTGTTCCAGATTATGACTGATTCGCCCTTAGCATGAAATTCATTCTCTGAATTCCTCAAAGGAAATGCTCAAAAACACATAGGGTTACTTTATTCCATTATAGCTGTCATTCTGTATCTGCAGTTTCCACATGTAGAGATTTCATAAACTACAGATCAAAACTATGAAAATAGAATTGTGTCTCTACTGAATATGTGCAGATATCTTTCTTGTCATTATTTCCTAAACAATACGGTATAAGATGAACATATATAACCTATTTGCATAGCCTTTACAAGGTGTTAAACATTGTAGGCAACCTAGAGATGCTTTAAAGCATATAGAGGATGTGCATGGTCTATACAAAACTACAGCATTAGTATAAAAACCTTGAGCTTTCATGCATGTTGGTATCTGCAGGGATCCTGGAATCAATCTCTTCCAGATACTGAGGGATGTTGGTGTCTGCTGGGAACCCGAGGGAATGACTGTATTCCCCTTTTCATACACAGGTCTAGCTGTCCCATAGGCTGAGTTTTCTGGGAAAGGTGTGGTTTCTAGCACTCTGAGCCATTTTCTCCATAACTTCACTTGCATGTACTTGCCAGACTACATGTCCAAATTTTTCATTCAAAAATTGTGTCTGGAACATAGTAAACACTCTGCATGAACTTGTGGGATGACTAAGTGAATAAATAAATGCTCACATAAATCAAAGACAAAAGAAAAATATGGTGGTCATACCTAGTAAGGGTCTACACTTAATCATATGAAGCTGTAAATCTATGAAAAAAAAAACAATACTAGTCCTGTACAAAACACTTTGATTTATTTTAACAATTATGGTATTTTCCCCCATTGAAAAAGTTGGACTAGGAACAGGAACAAGGAGAAAAAGCATCCACTTCGAAAACTGAATTTAAGGCTGTGTTCCCACAGAATCACCCAGAATGAGAGCTTGGCTTCAGCTGGCCAACATTTCCATGCCGTTACCCAATATCTGTCGTCTTGGTGCCAGTATCAACATGCCCAGCCCACTCAGGAGAGAGACAGAAATGTTTGCCTTGAATTTACCTGCCTTGAAAAGTTTTAAGTCTGGCTTCCCCGTGCACTTCATTCGTGGTGTCTTGACATGGAGTAGGGGACGGCTGTTGGCAGGTGTTAGGGACACGTTCATCTTCTAAGCTCATACCCACATGCAAATTGAAAAGTCCCAAGAAATATTTTTGAGGAGTTTTAAGTCCTTTTACTCATCGTTGTGGTGTCCGGGCAAACGGGAGCCTGCTTCGGGTGGTATTTTCTCCCATTCTATTACGGAAAACTACTGTCAGAGGGCAGAGAACACTCTGTTCCTAATGTGTCTCTGTGACATACTCCTGGGGAGCAGGGCATGTAAACACACTGTTGAGAGCCATCTCCTACTATCTTTTGGACTCACTCCCCTT